AAAGATGCTGAAAAAGTGTTAGGATGTTAGGTGGATGATATTTAACATTTACCTCATATTTCCAGGTTCCCTACTTGTCCATCTATTTCAGGGGTTGCTATGGACAAGAAATAAAACACAACCTGTGGTTCTATTGTTCGCGCGCGGCGATCAGACTGCCTTGGTTGAAACACAGCCAACGTTCTCTAAGGTCCTCAGGGTCCCAAGGGCATCCCCAAGGGCTCAAGACGTTGCCGTCACAGCAGTGCAGGAGCTCCCTGCAGTTGCCAAGTTGTACGAGAGTCTCAAGAGACGTTTGCCTCACTGCGGAACGCTGTGACATGACGGGCGCAAGGACTTTGATGGACGTGCAGTCGCCAAACAAGCAACAATTTTGCTGGCCCAACGCCAAGAGCACGTTGAGCTCCTCCTTGCAGGCCTTATCCCACTTGAAGACAAACATTGTTGCTGCTGCACCTATCTTCTTTTATCAAGATTTAGTTGACTTTGATATTCTATCAAACCTGAACATTGTTAAGTTTGGATGATTTGATGATTTGATTTTTTGTCAAGAAGTCAACTAAAGATAATCAAACAATCCAAACCAAAATAATTTGCAAAAACAAAGAGAAAAACCAAATTGAATCAGCTGAGACCCCTTATGGATCCAGCCAAAGCCAGAGAAATATCGTTGAAATGCGTGGAAATCCCGATCGCAATGTCAAGCTAGGATCAATAAACCCAAAGAACCGCAATCATAAAATGGTAACCCCCACAGCCCTCGCATCTTTACACTGGGGATTTGTTGATGGATTACCATCACTCTGGTGAACATCAAACTTGATGGTAAGTGGATGTTGTTTGCTACCCAAAACATCGATAAATGCCTAAATTGCGGCACGAATTATCAAACACGTAAGTATGTGGATAAGTAAATGTTACCCTATATGCACTTACAAAATATTCATGCAATTAGGTCATTGATGTTACCATACCACCAAACAAATGTTTATTGGTACGTGTACCTAAGAAATTATCCCAAATTATCCCAAATACAGCGCTATATGCCTAACTGGATGTTTGCGGTTTTGGGTTTTAACACTGCATTGACTCCTGGTTTAGGAATAAGCACTATTACTAAAGTCAAACAATTACTAATAGTAATGAAACAATATCAGAAATCTCTAATACTTAGTACTTAGTAATACCGACTATTAGTAATTAACACTATTATCAATTTTCAAAATCAATTGTCACTACACGGGGGACCTCCCAAAGGGGTCAACTGCTGCTGGATTGTCACAATTGATGCTGAAAATTGATACTTAATAATTACTATCATTGCCATTTGGGGATTTCCATTCA